GAGCCTCAAGAGCCGACGGAAGGCTGACTTGGGCTGCTGGGGAGCGTCTTGGACCATCCTTTCGCATTCTGGGCGCTGATGGGAATCGTCTTGGAACCTCCTGGAGCGCTGTGGGGGCTTCCCGGAACGCCCGGGGGAGCGGTACCTGGAGCGTCCCTGAAATGTACCGGGGAGGTGTGGCACCAGGGGCCGGGGTGGGTGGGGGCAGTATTTATTGATATCGTATGTATGTATGTATGTATGTATGTATGTATGTATGTATGTATGTATGTATGTATTTATGTATATATATATATGTGTATGTGTGTGTGTGTGTTTGTGTGTGCGTGTGGTCTCCGCACGCGTGCCACGAGGCGTTCAGCCGACAAGGAAAGATCCAGATGTCTGGGCCCCTGGCTCCAAAGAGGGCCCGAAACTTCTTCCGAAATGCGGCCTGGCTTCCTGGAGCCCATATGAATGCGGACGATGCCGGGGTGGCCAGTCAAGGGTGGGGAATATAGAGCTTGCATCGGCGATGGGTCGCCGACAGATTTAACAGCGAAGCCGCACGATCCTGGCGGAGAGGGCATCAGGCCCCAATGGGCATGGGTAAGTGGGGGCCGAGCCACTCCCCCCCAAGCTTATCCCCCTGATCTTGCCAGCGCAAACGAGGGGGTGGCACGAGGGGGGCGGCCTTCGAAGAAGGCGGATGGCTTTTCAAAAGCGTGGACCTTCTCAGCAGGGTTCGGAGGCCTATGCGAGATGGCGCGAAACGGACGAGGAGGAAGGAGGAGGGACGAGGAGGGTAGAGGGTAGGGGGAGGAGGACGGACGAGGAGGGAAGAGGAGGGGAGGAGGGGTAATGAGGAGGAGGAGAAGATGTGCACGGGAGAGCGAGGGATCGAGGCGGGGGGAAGAGGAGGGAGAACGAAGAAAAAAATACTGCCTTGCCCCAACGCATGCTGATGCCCGCGCGCATACCCCGTCGGTCGCAACGCACCCCCGCCCCGACGTGTTCGACCCCACCCCAACGTTACACGTTACCGTTACCCGCCCCCCCCCCCATGGTCGCGACCGGCCTCAATTCGCAAGACTCCCCAAAATAATGTCTTGGACGCAGTGAGTGGGGGGGTTTGTGGATCCCCATGCACGGGGCGGCCCCTTTCTCGACAGCCCCCCCCCCGCCCTCCTTAATGGGCCTGTTATCCACCACCACTACCATAAGTTGGATGGGGGGAAGGAGGAGGACGAGGAGGAGGACGAGGGGGAGGAGCAGGAGCAGGAGGAAGTGGAGCTTGCTTGCTTGCTCTCGGCTGTGGGACGATGAATCGAATGACTGCTGCGCCCGTGTAAACTGCGTGAATCTTTACAAGCTGCATGCGCGTGGACGAGAAGCCGACCGGGCCGAGGGGCCGAGCGAAGGGGGCCGAAAAAGGAAGCGAGGCGAGCGGCGGGCACAGGGCCGCGACCGACGACGGGCGAAGAGAGAGGCGAAGAGGAGCGGGGTCAATCTATTCGTGCGTCCGCCGCCCGCGCCCCGGTGCGAAACTTGTGCCAGGTGCGCGAGGCCGCACAGCCGTAGCTCGATGGCAACGGCGCGGTGCCCGCGTCCTCCAAGGCCGAGCTAGAGCCAGGCCTCGAAGAGGACATCCTCCTCCGCCTCAGGCCACTGCACGGGCAGGTCAGCGCCGCTGTCTTCTCCAGACCTTCAGCACGTCGATCCAGGCCGATATTTCGCCCTCCAGGTAGCCACTCGGTGCAACTCCCACTGTCGACACCGCCCCCGACGAGCGGAAGGCCTCCATCACCTGCATCTCCAGATCCACGCGGTCCAGCGCGACGACCACCTTCAGCGTGTCCGTCTGCTTGCAGCTCTCCAGGCGGCACAGGCGCACGAAGGCGGGGGGGCCGTCCTGCATCTCGGCCATCAGCGCCGTCGTCACATATTTGAGCCTCTTGCCGATTTTCTCCTTCGAGGGCGCCTCTATCATGGCGCAGAGCACGGCGGTCGCCGGTGGGCCCAGACTCCTCAGCTGCCGCATCACCTTCTCCGCCTCCGCGTCGTGCTCGCGGGGCGCGGCCGCGTCCGAGTCCTTTGCCGCTGTTGACTTTCCCTTTAGCTTGCTGACCTCCGCGCTGATGTTGTTGGCCACCTGGGAGAAGTCCTGACTCTCGGCCTGCGTCGCCTTGGCCGCAGGCGACTTCTCCTCCAGCAGCGCTGTTCTCGTAGCGATCCCCCACATTGCTCTGGACCTCTGCGCCAGCTGCGACACGAGCATCGAGAGGTGGAGGAGGAGCTCCTTGAGGCCAGAGTCCTTGACCACCAGCTTCCGCTCCTTGGCCTTCGCGCGGCATCGTCCGCCTCGCCGACTCCTCGGCTTCACCGCGGAGCCCTCCTCTCCCGTCGCCCCTCTGGCCAAGCGAACGCCCCGGCCGTCCATCTGGCTCTTGCGGCTGTTGTCCTCCTCTCCGTCGGGCCTGGGCCGCGCTCCACCACTCCGAGAGCTGCCCGATGAGCCCCCCGCCTGCGGCCGCCTGCGGCCGCGCTTCCCGGTCTCCATGACTGCCAGGCCCCCCGATGCCGTCGCCGACGAAGAGTGTGTCGTAGCGCCTCCAGCAGGGACGAACAAGCCAGCAGCAGAGCGGATATCAGAGCCCCGCAGGCGAGCAGCACCCAACGGTTGTGAATGGCGGCGCCTCGGGCGGGATTCTGTAGGTACTGGTCGAGGCTTCACTATCGATACGGAACGTCCTTCCTGCGTCGGCGGCAGGTGAGGGCATAGATGACTACGGAGCAGCCCGTAAGAGGGCAACTCAACACCACAAATTGCACACTCGCGAGTGTTCGTGTCTTTGAACTCGTAGGGGTACGCCGTGTCGTGCATGATTCATCGCCCTACGTGCCACGCGCGTGCAAAGTGTCGCACCGTCTCCGCATTCGTCTGGAATGTCGTGCCACAGTTGACGCATGCACTGCTCGGTGTGAGTGCGTGAAATGTACTATGTCCTCCGTGTCCTGCTTGTCGTGATTGGCATACATGTGCGACTAGTGCTGCGCGCGATTTGAATACACATCCACACATGGGGACTTCAGGGTCTCCACGGATCTGACATGTGAACTTCTGAGATCCCGTATCTTCCCAGCTGTTTTCCCCGACCTGGGCTGCGGGGACTGATGCCGCCAGTGCGCCTGGCGGTGTCCACTGTGCAGCAGCGAAAGCGCTCCGCAGGCACCTTGCATCTAGGGAGACGAAGAAGCCGTTCACCTCCTCATCCCATGGCAAGTCCCTCAGCGAGCGGCTCTCCCAGACAAGCGAAAAGGACTCCGCCTCGGAGTAGCCGCGAAAGACTTCCAGGCCGCGTCGCAGCTGACCCGCCAAGGGATGAATAACAGCATCAGAGTAGAACTGCCCAGATTCCACAAGTGTTGGTGGGCAGCGGTATTCGCAGGTCGCCTCCCACTTCATCTCGCCGAAGAAGACCCGTAGCATGTGGCTGTGGTTCCGCGGATGGCGTGCAATCTCCTGCCACATACTGAGGCGCTGTACTGTTGCTTCCAAACTAAACGGGACGAGGCCCCAGAACCTGTAGAACTCCCTCGTCGTCATCGCCTTCACGTGGTCGTTATGCTGGCTGGCCGTCCCATCCATCTTCGATTTCAACTTCCTCGAAATTGAACTGCATATCTGTCGAGCCTGTGTCCGTCCAACAGTAAGCTGTAGTGCCCGACAGTGCCACCCCCGAGACCTGGCTGATGAACATGAGGCGCTTGACACGCTTGTGCGCGGCAACATATCAGAAGCCCTGCGCCATCATCCAGCCCTTGTTGATGGCAGCCAGCAGCAAGGCCAGCTCCGTCGCATTCGAATCAACCGCGTTAAACCAGCCGCCCAGGTGTTTCAGCTCGTGTCCGCTCCTGCAGCCGCTGCGGGAGAGGGCCTGGATCGTTTGTCGCACCAGCTGCCGAGAACCCAAGGAGACGACCACGTCCTGCTTCGATCTGTTTTGGCCGTGCTTCCTCGCCGCCAGCGCCTGATCCAAGCCTGTATCATTTCTCTGTGAGAAGATCACCACGTCTGTGGCTGTACGGATGCTGGTCGGCACCATCTGTGTCTTGAAGATGTCGTCCATGAAGCCACCCAGGCTCGCGTCGATCGTGGGCAGGCGGTCGTCGAAGTCTATCAGCATGGTGGTGGAAAACAGGCCCATCACTCCTGTCATGGGTGGCCCCCCTCTCGCAGTCTCCGTCGAGCGCGCCGCCACGTCTCTCGCGTCGGCCACGCGACCGGAGCCCGAGCCCTCCCGAAAAGCCTCGGCCCTCGAGCCTCGAGGGGAGCCGTTTACCCCGAGGAGCCGCGACGTGGCGGCCGCGACCCAAACCCCACCCGGGGCGACGGCGCGGCAGGCCGCAAATGGCGGCACGCGTCGTCATCGTCGTCACCGTCGTCACCCTCCTGCGCCTGCTGCCGCTGCTGCCGTGCCTCTTCCTCTTGCTCCTCGTCCCCCTCCCGCCCCCCACTCCTCCTCGCCGTTCCCGCTCCACCTCCCCCTCCCGCCCCGTCGTGGTGGAGATGCGTCTTGTCGCAATCTGAATGCTGGGCGCCGGTATCCGAGGTATTGTGTTGCCTACGGTATTTTCTGGCAGAGCCGTGATGTGTCACGGTTGATTGATTCAGGGAGGGGTGTGGCGGGTCTTCTGTGCTTCGTGGAGATGCTCTTCTTGTGCGTGCGCATGTTCTTCCTTGTCGCTCACTGCTCTGCGGGGTTAAGGCGCGTGCTTGTGATATGATCTGACGTTGACCAAACAAATCCCCACGAACAGCGAACATAACCAAATCCGCGTCCTCGCGGTCTGGATTTCGGGGCGCGGTCCCGCAAATACGCGGTCGCATGGATAAGGAGCGAGCGGAACATCCGCAAACAACGCCCCGTATCCGCAAGGTCGCGGGCCGCGAATACTACGGATATGCTTTTTCGCCCACGGGATTCGATGGTTCGACGCACTCCTCCTCCAAGGCAATCCTCGTCGCGCTCGACACCGCCCACCTCCCGTCGTTCTGCGAGTCCGGCACGACCGTCTGCGCGGGGGCGGGCCCGTGCGGCGGGGGCGAGGCGGGCGGGGGAGGTGTGCGCGGGTGGCTAGGGTCTTTGCTTTCCACTCTTCGAGAAAAAAGGAAGAAGAGGAGGTGGGTGAGGCGGAGGGAGAAGACCACAAGAGGACAAAAAGGAAAAGTGGGCAACGCGAAAGCTAAACACGGTTGTCGCGCAAATCCGCCGACCCTGTGTCGGCGTGTGTGAGGGGTTTGTCCGTTCCCGTCGTTCGTTCGTCGTCGTCTCTGTCGTCTCCTGTCCCTGCGCCCGCCCTTTCCCTGGCCCAGTCGTTTCCTGTCCCTGCGCTCCCCTTTTTCCTGGGCCCGTCTCCCCTCCTCCCTTTTCCCCCTGTTCCCTGGGCCCGTCGCCGCCCCCCCCCGTTTTTCCAGGGCTTCCCCCTCAAGAGCATCGTTGTCACTAAGTCGAAGGGAAGTCCCCACCCTCCCCTTTAATCCCTCCCCTGCCACGGGGGGTCCCCAGGGGGGTCCCGCGTCAGATACCCAGATGGATCACATTTTTTGTTTTTGTGATATTACAAACCCAAGTTGCTTTTATTGTTACATGTGGTTTACAACAGAAGCAGAAGCTAACCAAAACGTTGTTCAACTAATGGTTGTAAATCGCATGTGGTATTGAAGGTTGTTTTGAGAATGGTTTGCGGCCCGTTTTTTTTTTTTTTTTTTTTTTTTTTTTTTTTTTTTTTTTTTTTTTTTTTTTTTTTTTTTTTTTTTTTTTTTTCACGTTTTGCTTCAAGATTATGTGAGCATGCGTGTTTCCAACATAAACGTGCATGTAGCAATTCGCCTGGCGATCGTTTCTGGATGGACTGGTGGGGATACGCGAAGCGTCAAAAGGCGAATCGCCTCTCGAGTCCAAATGAACCCAGGATGCCCGCAGAGACGGCAACCGAGATCGGCGGCAGGGGCCGACAACCTCAACATGTGTACAGGTGGTGCAGCTTTTGTATATGGTCAACGGTGGTCCTGACTAGACTGACAATGCAGCCATTTGAACAATACGGACAACTCAATAGTGCGTGGGTGGCAAGTCTCTGCGGAACCAACCATCTGGCCAACCTAGTCTTCGTCTGCGCACGTCCCGAAAAAAAACGGGATTTCCACAGGCCGCGGCCTGGGTTTCGCAGAGGTGGCAAAATATGTGAAGTTCGGGCGAGAGTTTCCACAATCGCTCGTTGCTGGCAAAAGCTCGCTTCGCTAGGGCGCCATTGCTCTGACACAGCTTATTTCCTAGCTTTGGGAGATCCCCCCGCGCTGACGGGGGAAGAACTTGCGACTCCTGTAGAATTATTACATAGGACCTGTTCATGCATCTGGTGAGTGCCAGCAGTAACTCGTCGTGTGGAGACCCATCCTTAAAATGCTCAAGGATATACAACGCGAAGCCAGCCAACTGCCGAATTCCAACGGCTTTCCCACTCAACTTGGGCCAGTCCCCAGATTTCCAGATTCGCTCGAGGCTCAAACTTCCACGACGCCATGACGCTTCTGTGCGCGACTTCTGATCCCCAAGGTGGTTGACCCTTCTCATTAAACGTATGGCCTCCAAGTCTGCCGCGACACATCCCGAATGCGAAGCATAGTTGTGAAATGCCGCGCGCGCGCCGCGATCAATGGCGCGAGGAACTTCAACCGTGACGTTCTCCAAACGACGCCCCTGCGCATCGCTGAGACGCGCGGGAATTGGGCGCCCGCGAGCTCGCCGAACATCTCTGCGTCTCATGAGTAAACGAGCGTCGCCCTCCAAGGTGCATGCGAAGAACAACCTACACAGCACGTCCGAGTATCCAAATTGGAAGATCGGCCCATCCAACACATGCGCTCGTTCGCGCCCCACTAAGGAGCCCCGTCGTCTCGCAATAAAACTGCCACCCCCTCGCGACTTCGTCATGGGACGCGCCGCCACGCGTTTGCCAAATCAGATTTACCATTGGCCAGAGCGCGACCGAATTCTAAATTGGGCGCGTTCCCCTCCAGCATCGAATTGAAGCTCCGCGCGAGACTTGTCGAGATGCAGTCAAGAGCGTCTGCCGCCACGTGGCTTTTCGACGCCACAGTAAACGCGAATCCTTTCGAAATCGCGGGGCCCTTGCCGAGCAAGCTGTTCCGCGACAAAGATGGCAAGCTATCTTGCTTCGAAAATGCACCGCCTCCCCCGTGAATATCTACGGGCATTACTCGCGACAAATTATCAGGCGCGAGATCGGGGTGTCTCTGCGCAACACTAATGCCCCGCGCAGACTTCCAGAACTGCCTGCAGGACCCCGCTGGTCCAGACATCGCGTCTTGCCATGAAGCCATCGCGCTGTCTGTGTAGCAATCAGCGAAAATCCTGCGCGGCAGCAGGAACGGCCGAGGCGTTTCCACCGAATTTGGTAAGGGTCTCCAACCAATCGATCTCGCACGAACCCTTCGGATAGCCTAACACGTTTTGCACGTCACGGTAGATGTTCGAAGGATTGCATCCTGAGGTTCCCAAGCCAGCTGGGCCCCCCAGCCCGCGGGCCCTCCCGGGCCTGTGCGCCCGCGGCATGTTTCTCAGGCTGCTTGGCAGACTTGCGACCGGCTGCCCAATCCGCGCGAGAGAGTTGCGCAAAGGGACAGCTGCCGCTCGAGCCTGGAGCATCGCCCCTGGTCTCACTGCCCAAATGTGCATCGCATGCAAGTCGCCCTTGCTTCAAACCGCCGCGCCATCGAATCCGCGACGAACCGGCAACCTCCTCAACGGCATCGGGGGCGCGATCGGCGGCTCGCCGCTGCTTCGAGCCCATGCAACGCAGACGGGCAACAGCGGCGCCACGAAAGGCGGAGCCACCCGCGCAGCAAGAACAGCTTTGCACAGAGGGTTTGCGGGAGAGGCCGTTGTTAGTCCGCATGTCGGTGCTACGTGATAAGATGCAGGTTCTCGTTGCGCATGTTCATGTCGCGTGATGGCCCGTTTTTTTTTTTTTTTTTTTTTTTTTTTTTTTTTTTTTTTTTTTTTTTTTTTTTTTTTTTTTTTTTTTTTTTTTTTTTTTTATATATATATATATATATATATATATATATTATATATATATATAAAACTTTGAGATGCAGTCCGCATGTTAGCGCTGCGTGATTGTTGCTTTCCCCCGCCGCCGCAGAGGACACATGGGTTGGCCACTCGCGCGTCCGGCGACCAACGCTCAACATTCTAGGCGTCGTTTGCTTTCCATCGCCAGGGCGGCTGGGGGGCAGGGCGAGGACGGGCGCGAGGAGGAGGATGGGGGGGGGGGTCGAGGGCGAAGAGGAGGGCGAGAAGGAGGAGGCATTGCCTTAGCTGAACAGCTCAAGCACAGTCGATCTCGTCGCGTGCGCGATGTGATTTACCACGACTGCGAGCTAGCAATTCGGCGCGCCCCTCGGCGCGACGCTTGCTGCAGACCGACTCGCTCATGTATCTCGCCGGTCACTTCCGCTCCTTCCTGGCCCTCTTCTTGGGGGCAGCCTCGCAGTCGGACGTCGCCGGCCACTTGCGCGTGCCCTCGATTTTTTTGCCGAGGTGGTAGGCAGCAAGGCTGTGAGGCCCTCGTCGCTGGCCTTCGTCTCGAGCACGTACTTCAACTGGGGCGCAACCTCGACGAGGTTCTTGTCCATCTTCTCGATGTCCGCGACGAGCATCGAAGCGGACTTGTTATCGCGGTCCTTCTCGGCCCTCGCTTTGACCTCGGTCGTCTCGGCCCTGGCGTCCTGGATCTTGCGAATCGACGGGTGTGCGTCTTCACTGAGGGCCTCAATCCTCTCCTTCAGATCCTCCAGCGGGGATGTCTTATCCCGCTTGATCTCGGCGCTGCTGCTAGAACGCTAGAACCAGTGCCGGCCCCGAGGTCGCAGCGCTCCTGGATGGCCTCGACGCCCATATCGCCGGCATCGGTCGGGGCCCAAAACTTCATGGCATTCCAATCGCTCTCGGCCTTACTGCCCCAATGCTTGGGCGCCCCCACTTGCGCGTGAGCTGGCTCCGTGCTGCCCGTTATCATGTTTGGGACCTTCGGGATCTTCCCGCTGCTTCAACAGTGCTCTGCGAGCTCCTCGCCGAGCCCCCCATCCATCTGGAACAAGGTCCACCAGTGGCGCTCTGGAATATTCTCGTCGCTGGTGCTCAGGGCGCGCTCTCCGCTCATCTTCTTCTGCGCGCTCTTGGCCCGCATCTGGCGGATGGTGAGCGTCGGGGGTGAGCTCGGCGCCTGGGTTCCGTTTCACGAAGTTGGTCATGCATGCGTTATGTCTGCGCATCTTGGCTTTAACCATGTCGTTGAGCATCGCCTTCGCCTGCTCCACCTTCGCTGGCGTCCGAGTCAGGCTGCTCAACTTCGCCCTGGGAAGTCCAGCCGGCATGGGGGCTCTGCCAGAGGGGCCCCGTGGCAGTGCAGGGCAGCCAAGGCATGAGCCACAATGCCAAACTATGGGGCGCAATGAACCCGATGGAGGACGCAAGAAACACGTTGGGTGCTCGGAGATCCTCCGCAGACGCTTCGAACCAGAATTTCGGAGCCTGGACCCCAAGCAAGAATGCAATAATGCATGATTGCATTCTGGCGCGCGACGTTGCACACCCGCGGTTCCGCAGACGATTCTGGCGCCGCTCATCCGGTTCGAAATGGGCGCTCAGACTTCGATTGTTTCACTTCGAAGATCTTGCACGGAATGCTGAATAATTTGGGTGGATTTCTTGGTTGATGTTGCCATTGACATTCGCTGCGCTTCTTCGACGTGCAATGGGCCCCGTTAAAACTTCTTGCGCAGTCCGGCGCCCCCCCCAAAAGGCCCCAGTCTTTTCGGGGCCATCCAAATAAACCAAAAAAAAAAAAGCAGCTGGACAACTAGAAATGCATGCCTCTCGGGGGGCTGTTTTGTCAAAAGGGGCGCGGTGTTTTTTTTGGCGCCGTTCTGCGTGTTTTCAGCGGCGGGGGGGCCGTTTCATTTAGCGAGGTGCAGCTGTAAGTTTC